AGGGTTCAAAGATGAGTTAAGGAAAGTCAAAGTCAACGCGTAGTGCCGAGCTTGGTATGAAGAGATCGAGGCTGAAGGGTGAGCTTGGAGTAAGATAGAAATAATATAAAAAGGCAAATAACAAATGAAGAACACAAGACATACGTAAGATGTTCCAAGAGTTGACTTTCTAAGCCTCAAAAGGTTAGATATGTCGCCATTTTGAGCTCTCTGTTGTACTTCTTGAAGTTGAAGGCTTTGAATCTCGTTCTTGTGTCGCTTTAAGACCATATAAATCCAACAGTTGACAATTACCACCAGAATAAAGCAGACAGTTACAATCACGGAGTTTATGACTCGTGAGATCTTAAACAGAGGAATCCATCAGAAACTTAAAGAAAAAATTGCGCTTAACAACCACATTGATATCACTGCTGCAATGACGCGCTTGTGAGTAACAAGCTCTTGATATCTGAGATGAAGGTGAACAGCTAAGAACCTGTCCATACTTATGGCCACAACATTTAAGAACGTAGATAAACCAAAAAAAGTCATAACGGCCGACAATTCCTTGTAGGAAAGGCAGTCGATACGTTTTTCTTGTAAGCAGCTGACCAGAATAGAAATGTAGAGCGGCTGCGCTAACAAACCGACGCCAACATCAGAGACAGCCAGACTCTATAACAATGTTCTCAAAGGTTTAGACAAAGACGCAGTTTTCCTTATCACATGGATGGTGACGGTGTTTAGAATGATGACCGTATAAGACAGAAAGCTATTGAAGATACAATTAGCGACAAGTGTCGGGCGAAAGTCTTCAAAATGCGCAGAGGTTGAAAAAAAAGACTCGTTGGGGTGTTCCACCATTAGAGCCGAGCGTCAAAACTACCGTGCTTCTATCAGACGATTTTAAGTCATAATTATATGATTGTCAATCACGAGGATATCAGAAAGTTACAGCCACCTGCACCAATTCATCCACGATGTCTTTAACTTTGGCGTTTCTTTTTTAAAAACAGGTTCGAATACCGCTTTACTCGGCCTTAGCTAGAACTAAGAACTTATCTTTTTAATGCTACTGACAAGACATTTCATTAAAAGATGGCTAATTTGTCTAAGTAATAACGTCATTTCGAGTGCAATTTGATGTAAATGGGTAAGCAAGAACCCGTTAGACGACTCCAATTTGTAGTCTTTGAAACATTTACAAGAGCGTATTTACACTAAATCGCACGAGAAACATGTCATTACTTATTTATGATTTACATGTAAAAAACATCACGAATAAATAGCCCACAAAAGGTCGAGCAATGGCCATGTAATATCTTTAGTTTAACCTAGAAAAATTCATGTAAGACATTTGATCAAACAATAATCCTTCATCAAGCTTTTTAAACGAACGGAAAACAGGAAGTTTTACTATTGTTCGTGTTGACGGCAGATGTTAATTAAAAATGGGAACTTATTTTTCTGCGACATCAATACACGGAAAATAAAAGTTGCATATGTAATAATGTGTATGCTTATGGGAGACGTTTAGCCTGTTAGGGTGACTAAGTAAAGAAAAAATGAAAAAAAAAACAAAAACAAAAACTATCGGCAAATGACGGCACTATAAATTTATTTTGTGCAGAAGTAAAGTTTGCATATGAGGGTTGTCAAACGCAGCCAGGAATTGCATTAGTTTCATTTTACATCGCAAGGTGATTAATAGAGAATTTCGCGCCATCAGTCAGCTACTTATATGCAAATTAAAGCCAATTCGTCATTTGGTGAGTCTATTTTTTTCAAATAAAGAAGCAAAATGGTTGTCCTAAAGTTTTCTCTCAAAATGATCTGTTTGTCCTTTAATACAAACAGAGGATGTGTGAATTCAGCTTGCATTGGAAAAAGCGAACCCTAAAAATTCTCCGCGTAAGAATACTCCGTCTGAATCTTATGCTATAATCATAATACTAGACGAAGATTGTTATGAGCTGCTGTATATCGTGTGACCACATATATATACGCACTCATATGAATGCAAATGGAAAGAACTCCAATATAGCACAGTTTGTGTTGAGTTAAAAAGGGATCCTGGTTTTAGATCCGCGGATAAGACCCACTTGAATGAAAGGTGCTTGGGTTGTTTATCATAGTGTCCAAAGTGGTTTGGTGTGGATGAAACTCTATCGTTTTTACCATTAAGGTGGCTGGTACCAGTTTTCATCTTTTTGATGCTTTGAAACTTTGAAAAAATACAACAAAAAGACTGACTAAGGCCAGTTGAACACTTTTACGGGTTGAATTATATAATCATTGGTTAACCAAAAATAGGTGTCATTTCGTCACTAGCAGTTTCCATGGCAACGCTTTGAAAGGATTATTTAGACGCATTTTTTAGCTTATGGCTCCAATAATTCGCTTTTGGCACTTGAAAAGGAAACTGCACAGTGATTTGAGAAAAGTTCTATGAGGCGGAATTTCAGAAAATGTAGAAAAGGACAGTTTTCACTCAGTGCAAAATTTTCTTCCGTAGAATTTACTATCATTACCATTCTGACGATTCTATTCATTGATATTAAATTGGAACAGTGAAAAGAAGGGGTCACCAGACTTTTTTCATGCATGAGCCCTCGTGAGTTTAGCAATTCCCAAGCTCGTTCTCGCGCATTTAAAAATCCGGATTCTATGAGATCGACAGTTACTCATGATTGGATATGCTACCGCTGACTTTCGGGTGTATTCGCGCGAGCACCTACGGTCTGATGTTTACAGACGTTTCCTGCTCGGGAAATCATTCAATAGCCGTCAAAGACAGCCTCCCGGGCTCACCTTGAAGGACTTACTCACAAGTTCTGGCTTTATTATATTATTTTCCTTGAAGGTTTACAGTCTTTTCCTTCATCAGGCAGATTTTATTTCACTAGGGTTCTCATTTCTTTTTGCTTGTTTTACTACAATTGGTAATTTACGCTTTTACCACACTTGCTTTGAATGAAGTAGTACAAAAAGTCGATAGATTCGGAGTCCAAACTTCTCTGGTGATATTTGCAACCCTCATTTGTAAATTTACGTTTGAGACGTGGATAACACCCAAGAGTGAGACCATTCAAATGATAGTTGACGAGCACTTCTTTAATGTGACACTGTTTATCAAGCATTACGAAGAATTGCTAACTAAAGGTCTGTTGATGAAACAATAGCGTTTGACCATTCATATGAAAGCTAACGCGTATTTTTTTTCATTTCTTGCTATTTATTATATCCTAAAAAGTGGTGAAATGTTTAGTTCATGGATGAAACACCTGTTTGTAACATGTTCAGTAAACACTACCTATTCTTTACTCTAATATGTTACATACCTCTTACAAACCGAGGTTTTTCCACTCGGATATATGGCCTATGCAAGATACGCGCGGGCTATAAATCCACGCGGAAAAAATGGATATTCTGTAACTTACAGAACGGACCGAGAAATCAAGGTTAGCATTGTATCTATCTCTGGGTTCGAAGAAACGGGTCTGGAAGTTTTAAACAAGCCTTTGAATTTATCGAGACGAATTCGAGAGAAAAATCAGGACGCCAGTAAAAACAAAACAAACTAGCTTCCCGAGAGACCATACATTAAGTGCTTTGTTAATTATTAAGACTTTCTCTTATACAATCATATGGCAAAAACATACTATTGTATTCAACGCGCGGGTAACGACTGCGCAATTGTATCCCGGTCGGGATACATTTGAATTTGATCAGGAGCACGTGACAAAGAATCAACCAATCACAGTACTCGTTTTTTTAAGTAAAAGTCTACGTATATAACAATGTTAGTTATCTAACTCAAGATTTAGCGGCCTAGCTCTTATGAAACAGTTACGTGTCAAAATTCTTTTTGAAAGAAATACTTTATAAATGCATTCAAAACCGTCTGATGAATTTTTACAAAATAAAATTTGTCTTACTCCATCCTTTCATCCACTTTTTCTTTAAGGAACGACTGCGCCCTCATTTTCATTTCCACAAACTTCAAGGAAAGGTTATGTTTAAATCGAACCCAGCCAATACCACTGTAAGCTTTTGTGTTCCCCATGAACTGTCCGTTCAAATTCGAGTTGTGACAATCGTTAAACCACCATCCCCCAGTCAAGTCATCTGAACAGCTCCCGGTCTTCCACATGTCATTATCCTTGTCTCTCGTGCTGAACATCATGTTGTTATGGTAACTTAAAGAATCCCCGGATGTACCATTGTAACCGCTGACTGTGATCTTGTAGTTGTTCATTTCGTTTTCTACCTTGAAGACGTCGTAATGAGCGAAAACTTTCTTTCCACTCCAATCCTCCAGCTCGATTCGCAGCGACATATCATATGCCGCGGTGAGTCGATGAATTTTGTCGTTTCCTAGCCAGAAATTCCCTTCATGGTCTCCGAAACCTGATTTATAGTCAATCCAGGTGCGATGGAAGCTGACAGAAGCATCCATTCGCCTTTGGAACACAATCCATCCTCCACTCTCTGTCTCTAGGTCGCAGTAGACATCAAAATCTGTTTTCCTGTCAGGGTTGATGATATAAACACCACTCGTGTTGTAGCCCGCATAAAGGATGTCATCGCACCCTCTCGCTGTGTAAAACAAGAATTGAAATATGTACTTAATGCTGAGTGGGAGGGTCGGACGGAAAATATTTAGCTTGGAGTCATAACGAACGGACCGAGCGCAGGAAAGTCAGTACGCCGTGACCTGGGGCGAAGTGATAAAGATGGGAGCGAACTTGTTATTTTTGATGAAGGGATAAATTATTCGCAATAGGAGGAACTGGAAGGGACGAACGTACTTTGGAGCGAAACCTCTTTGAACCATACCGGTGTAGTGCAATCATAAAAAGTAAAGTCTGTTGACACGACAAAAAAGAAAGACAAGAGAGATTTCATGCTCGCACTCTTAAGTAAATCAAGTGCATTGTCATTACTGTGCTTGAGTGACAAACTTTCTGATCTCTTTCTTGGGGGAGTGGGGCGAGGGCATTTTTCTATCGAGCCTTCTCCTTCACCTCTTTGTTTTACAATTTTAAAGAAGCGTTGTTAGATAAGGTGACAACTAATTAAGGTAATGTGGAGGAGGGGACTTACTTTGTGGAGGCTGAACACACAGCTTCTGACAGGAATCCGAACAGCACTTCATTTCACCAAAACAATCTGAATCCAGAGTACACTCGTCATCAGTCTCATCTCCGCAATCTTCGACCGGGAGAGGAATCGGGCAAATGCCCTCCTTCAAACCCTCTAAAAATAGAAAGCCGTTTTTATAAGAGCTATGATGGGGTTTGAATCTCAGAGATGGTTGTTTTCGATCGGAGCAAATGTCCGCGATCCTTCAGCACCCTGGGAACTGTTTGGTCCGTCCTTTCCATTTGCTTCATTATTCAACCTTTCTGAGCTTATATTTTGAGGTTTATCTCGTGTTTGAAGGTAATTTGCACGTTGCAAGAAGGGACTCAAAATATACGAGCATAGCTCCTTTAAGATGATGTTTAAAATACTGCTCAGACAATAAAAACTGAAGTCATGCAAAAAGTGATCGAAGCGAGTCACAAGAATGCAGTTAGAGGATAAAAGTTGGCCTGGATGAAAAGGGAACTGGCGCGAAGAATAACGTTTCAGGAAATCATGATTAGTAAGACAATTTATGTTACTAAAATTCAGATGAGCATTGCTTACTGTAGCTAGGAGAGTGGATATAAAATTTCTTATGAGGGCAAATTTTTTTATCTCCTTTGGGCAAATTTCATTAAATATGAATGTAATCTGGACAAAAAAAAGAGAAACGACAATAATATTGGTGAAACAACGAGTTCTCAAACAAAAACATATAATTTTTATTTAGGAACATTAATTAACAATTATTGGATGAGGTTGAGCAAGATAGCGATAATTATCAAGGCCAAATTTAGTGGTATCTCCCCAAGCCAAAGGCTGAAGCGGATAATACAAACTGAAGCCTTGATAATTATCGCTATCATGCGAAAACCGAATCCAATAATTGTTTTATTATGCATATTCCTGAGCTGCGCTTGTAAAGACAAGAGCACATAAAACTATTGTCTGTACGTATGACGTAAGAGAATGTATAATAATTGGACTTATATGTCACACTTACTCTGAAAAACTGCGAGATTCACTTCAGCAGTAATTTTTATGGCTCCTCCCAAGCTTGTCGCAGTACAAATATACTTCCCAGCATCCACTGGGGCCAGCTGAGTGATTGTCAAGGTCCCATCGTTTCCTACAGTCGCCCTCCGCTCAGGAAGGTCAGCGTACTCGCGACTCCACGTCACAAACAAAGTTCGGTCTCCCTTTGCCATGCAGTCAATCGTCAGTACATCGCCTGTGTTGCCTACGAGTTCCTTTGGTGGTTTTACAGTGAACTGAGGGAGTGTTAAAACCATCAGTTGCATCATTTCTCGGGCGCTGCCGATAGCATTCGCAGCTTCACACGAGTACATTCCAGAATCATCTGCTGTGGCGTTAACCATAGTCAGATTTCCATCGTATGAATGAGTGCGTCTCTCTGGCAGACTATGGAAGAGTCGAGACCACGTGATGATCGGTGACGGAAAGCCCGTCGCGATGCACATAGGGAATGTGACGTCATTTCCGTCGATGACGTAAACTGAGCGCTGAGTTAATGGTTTGATTTGAGGTGTCCCTATTCAAGAAGTGTTAAAGAAACTCGATCGTCATTAAATTGTCTCAATTTTTGTCTTATCAGTATAAAATTATTATGATGAAAAGCACCTGTCACGCTTCAAAGTTATTTTGTATAACTTTAAAATCACTTATATAAGAACGATCCTTCGCAGTAAAGCACTATTTGAGCAATAGTGGAAATCAGACCTGAAAAAAAATCACTCTTAAATGGAGGAATGAAAAATCGCTTGTCACGCAATTCCATAGCCAGCTACCCGTTGCGTTACACATGACATCACACTTTAACGATTATGACAACTTCCTCGCCATCATTTACTTGATATCTTACCTCGGACGACAAGTTTCGTGAAGGCCTCGGCTCGTTTCACACTTGTCCTCGCTACACATTCGTAAACACCGCTGTCGTTGTATTGGACATTTTTTATGGTTAGCCCACCATCTTGCAGCACGTGGTATTTGGCGCCACCTTTGAGTACCTCTCCTTCCTTCCGCCATGTAACAACAGGCGTCGGGTCACCTGTGATTCACGAAACATAGAGAGTTTGTATTCTGTTACTTGTGAGTTTTTTGCTGAAACCTCACGCTAAGAAGAAAGCTGACGAGCACAATTTGTTAAGTATTAAGCATTTTTTGCACTCGAAATCGGGCTGATTAAGAAATAAGCTTTCTAGCACTCGATACACGATCATAAGATACCAGTACCCGTAAACAGACACTCGACACTCGGCATTCAACACCCGATACGTAGCGCTCGGCACTCTACTGTGTTCGGCTCTCGGCTCTCGGCACTCGGCACTCGGCACTCGGCACTCGGCACTCTGCACTCGGCACTCGGCACTCGGCACTCGGCACTCGGCACTCGGCACTCGGCACTCAGTAATAAGCTCCCCAACTTTCGACATTCAGCAACAGGCAATCAACACCTGTAGTTGGCAACTGGTAATCACTCAGTACGAGGTGTGGCCATTCGGTCCGTGGCTCTCCAACTCCATTCGACATTCATTTAAAGGAGTCTACTGTTCAATCACGTCTTATCATACCAAACGCAATTTCGTTAAAACAGAAATAGAAATACATACCTGTAGCAGCACAATGGAACCTCGCCGTCTGGTTTTCATTCACTGTCAAAATCGAAGGAGACACAAGCACCTGTGGGGACCCCTCCTTGTTATCATTCACCGTCGACTCTCCAGGCACTCCTGGATATCCTTGGGCTCCTCTCTCTCCTTTCTGCCCTTTAGCCCCCGGGGGGCCTAACCCTCCAATGTCGCCCGAATCGCCCTTTTCCCCCTTGAACCCAGGTTCTCCAGGGGGACCACGAAGGCAAATCTGAATAATTGATGAAAACAACTGTCAGTGTTCGGGATCAGTTCAATGATGGAGAGAAAGAATAACTTGCGAAGAGTAGAAATACGATCTTTTTTACGAATATTCATTGAATTCAGCCAATGCGATTGTTACCCTGAATGCGAATCGGAAATCTTTCGTAGTTGAAAATTACCACGTGCGAAATATAAGCCAATCAGAACGCTACAATCAACACATGTTAAAAACAAGACGGCAAGCACGCAAAACCATTCGGGTAAAAATGAGCGAATGATGGGGCTGGTCTTGGAGAAAAGGAATTCTTTTCCCCCCTCTAAATAAACCTTTGTGCAAGGCTTCTACAAATGTTACAGCAAACAAGACCTAGGACTTAAAACAATTTGACTATTACAGAGACTATTTGACTATTACTGTTAATCTTTTTAAGGTACGCTGTGAGTAAGGCAGCCTCTAGACAGCCCAGGTCTCTCTTGGAAACCAATTTGTAAATCATAGAGGAGTCAAATGGCTCACTATTGGTCAGCGGTGCGAGTAGAGCTAACATACTTGTCTATGCATTGATAAATGACGTATACATGCCGGAGATCCACTTCTCTATCGGCAAACTAAGATGTTCTAATTAATACATTACTGACTGGTTTTTACCGAACCAAGAGGAGATGTGCAAACACGATTGTTCTCTTTTCTTATCTTCTCAAACTGACTTTGGATCTCGTTTCTTATTTTCAGGAGGTCGTTGCTTTGGTCGTTACTGCTGTTTGTTGGATGTCCAGCGGCCGCACGGCGGGATCTCGGGCTGGCCTCACTGGAATGAATATCCAACTTTCCTTGAAGAAGAAGCATGCAAAAACTGAGTTTAATTCGAATTCTTCGTATTTCTTCACACATTAACTGTGTAACGCCCACTGTAAGACCCAAAAAACTAGAGTTAAAAAAAATCATCCTTGAGCTGGCACTGTACATATTGTTGTAGAGCGTTTTCAAGGCTTGATATTTCAAGTATTTTTAGGTTTGCCTTTTGTTTTATTAAGTCTCGCCTNTCTCAGTACCTCTTGTTAATTTGCCAAGCGAGTGGTAAAACCCCCACAACAATATTTGTTCCCGCGAAATTATTATACGACAAGGTCTTACTAAATCAATAAAATATTGAAAAGAAAATTGAAGCAACAGGTTGTATAATGAGGTAATTGGTTTTATCAACTAACTTGAAATAGTAAATTGGCCACCGTAACGAAAAAAACAGATGACGTTTCTAGCGTTAGCCCTTAGTCTGAGCGAAGGTTGTATAATAAGGCGTCCATATCAGTGATGCTGTTTCTCTTTATCTAAAAAAACATTATACAAAAGGGAAAGCCATGGGCAACAGACAAGGCCTAAGAGGGCAGAAAAAACTGTCCCTCGCTAACTTTGCCAGTATGGCCCACTTTTTCATCATTTTTTTGCTTAATTATTTTTTCATTCGTTTGTGAAAACAAACCTGCTGCCATCGTCCCCTTGCAGAGCATTCTACTAATTAAATTCCCTCTTTTCATCATTTTGTCGTCATCGCTACATTCCTTACAGCACGTGTACCTAATATAAAGCAAACAGCGAACCCAAAACGTACCCTTTCCTCGCTACGGAATCCATGGTCTTCAATAAATAAAACAGGGGGCTAACTACAGCAATCTTCCTAGGGGGTAGGGTAGGGAAATGTCTGGCTTACTACGCACGTTCGAAAATGAACTCTGAAAACGCCTAATGACGGACTGAATTGAGTTGATTTCAATTTAGTATTCGATCAAGATTTATCGATCGTACCTTTGACATTGGCCTTTCTTTAATGTGATGCGTCTTGTGTTCTTTCACGACACAGAAGCTCCGTGGTGCCCAGTCGTGCTTCTTGCTCTTGTAATTTCATTTCGATTCTTAAAAATCCGGCAAAAAGTAGCGACAAAGTCAAGACCGAAATCACCAAACTGACAAAATGTAGCGAGCTACAAAGGCCTAAATTGGGTTTGGAGAGCGCCATAGCTGTTAAACGCCGAAAGCAGCGGTCGAAATCGAGACATAAACAAATGTTCTTTGTCTGTGAAAAATGTTCTGGCGAAGCTCGTGACAAATGAGTGACTTATGATAACGACACGCGTTCCGGTCACGATATCTTTCGCATCACGTAATACGTCACGCAACTGGAAGTTTTGCAAATACATCGACTAGGGTTGAAAAAGTCCAAAGGAAGAACTCTCTGTACTCTGTGCCTTCTTTGTTTGCGAAGACGCTGTTTAAAAACAGTTTAAAGGAAGCAGTTGGAAGTCAAAATCTTAATCCGAGTGGGATTTAAAATTCAAACGGTGAAATATCGTTCGAGTTGAGTTTGTTCTGAAGTAAGCTAGTTAAAAATCCGACGGAAAAGAGAATCTTCCCACATAGTTTATTTTTTGTCATTGTTGTCCTATATAAACTTCTTGAGGTTTACGTCACCGTTCTTGCATGAGATTTACATCATCCCCCCGTCCATTCGGGCAGTTTGAGGAGGCCTGAAATGCTCCCCCCGGTCTGACAGTGGATCTTTCTATTTAAAGTTGACCTATGAAGCTTAGTTTCTGAAATATCTTATTTCTACAAGCTCGTACATGAATTTCATTTCAGATATCAAACAGGGAGGATTCTTGTACATCCTTTTGAAACTCCATTTTATTCAGCATTTCAAGGAGAGAAGCCAATATTTCTCTCTTGTGGAGTGAATTTTACTTTTTCTCGACTAGAACCATGAAACAAGACAAACAGAGCCGAAAACCCGTCGGCAGTCAATTATGTTCGGCGTCCGCATTGCTGTTATCAATTATGTGTTGTATTGCTCTTGTTCATGTGGAACTCAAGATTCAAAAACATCATCGGCTGCTATCGCTTTCACAATCGACAACATTTTGCGATAAGCTGGAGAAAGAGATTATGCGTAAGGTTCAAAAGAATTTCAAAGAATGGACAGTAAAGACAGACGACAGAAACTTGGGGGTAAGGTTAGGTAAGGAAATGATCAATCTTCTTTATATATGTTGTAAGTGAATCAAAGATGACAGTGCAGCCTGTAAAACTCCGTAATACAAAGTCAGGGTTCTCGCTGCCGTATAAAATCATTTTAAACCCCACATCTAAATTTTATTTCAGGCCGAGCCGAAAGGATGTCACGAAAACCTCGTAGCGTGACGTCCGCGACACCCAAACAAACAACTGTTGACGTCCAGAAACTCGTCAGAGATGAGCTTCGCCAGCTGCGGGACCAAATCTGCGCCAAAGATCACGCGCTATGCCGTTCGGGCCCCAAGGGGAACCCGGGTCGCCGCGGACGACAAGGCTTACGTGGCAGAGCAGGGAAACCTGGATCCCAGGGGTCCCCGGGTAAGCATGGGCCCTCCGGTCCGCAAGGACCCCCAGGAGTAAAAGGAAATACGGGACCTCCTGGAGATCAGGGACCACCAGGACCTAGAGGGCCCCAGGGAGTGAAGGGAGATAGGGGCATGTCTATCTCTGCCCCGTATTTACTTGAGTCCCCAGTTGAATCAACGGTCAATGAAGGTTAAACAGCATTTTTAAAATGTGCAGCATCCGGTCACCCTACTCCACGTGTCACATGGTCCAAGATTAACTCGTCACTCCTCCTTGGGCGCCACGTGATAGAGTCCAATGGCGCTTTGACGGTGAGAAACGTGAAAAAGGAGGACAATGGAATCTATAGTTGTAAAGCACAAAATGTGCTGGGAAGTGTGAGCACATCGGCAAAATTAACAGTGCAATGTAAGTTTCTGAAACATTAGGGCATGCATGGCTTTCGTAATGACTGAAGTAACTTCATTAAAAATGCGGAAAAGTTTTCATTTTCTTATCTCATTTCTGTCTGGGTAGTTGACCACTTAATCATTAAAATATCAAAATGTGTCAGATTGAAACAAAGTAAATTGATTTATGAGAGAGAAAAGACTTCCAAAGGGAAAATAACATTAAAATGGCATTTTTTGCTTAGAAAAATAGGTGTAGGAATTGATTTGACTATCTTGAATGTTATTCCGTAATTTTTAGATTCTCCCCGCATCACTTTACCTTCCAGTCAGCGGCTGGCTGAAGAACAACAAAATGTCATTATGGCCTGCGATACGTCTGGTCAGCCGCAGCCTAACATCGCGTGGTCTAGGACGCTCGACAGCTTACCTGGTAGGGCGGCTGTAGAGAATGGAGACTTGAGAATCTACAATGTGTCAAAAAACGACGGAGGCATGTACATTTGCAAGGCAGAGAATATTCTCGGAAAAGCTGTGAAAACAATTCAGTTGATGATACTCTCTCGTCTACGATTTAAAGTACATCCTCCAAAACAGCTCACCGTTTTGATAGGGAGTCCTGTGCAGATACCGTGTATGGCCGAGGGAGGCCTGAGACCCTCAGTCACCTGGATGAAGGATGGCAAGACATCACTTCCGGTGGATTCCAATATTTTACCCAACAACACTATGGACATCTCAAAAGTAAAGAAATCCCACGATGGATTGTACACCTGCAAAGCGACCAATGCTCTGTCAGCAATAGAAATGAGTGTTAAGGTTAACTCAATTGAGCCTCTTTCATGTTCTATGCTACGAAAATACGGCAGTATTTCTAACGGCATTTACGTCATTGACCCAGATGGCGAGGGCGGCCTGGCACCTTTCACTGTCTACTGTGACATGAGTGACAAGAATGGAGTTGGCGTGACAGTTGTAAGTCACGACAGCGAAAGTAGAACACTAGTAGATGGATATGATAGTGAAGGTTCATACTCACGCAGAATTCACTACCCAGGAGCAAGTCTGTCCCAGCTGGCCAGTCTGACAGAGGTCTCTTCTCACTGCGAACAATTCGTTAAATATGAATGTTACCACTCTTTAATTTTGGAATCAAACTATGGATGGTGGGTGTCACGTGATTCCCGTGCAATGCGGTACTGGGGTGGAGCCTCTCCCAGTAGTCAAAAGTGCGCATGCGGAATGACCAATTCGTGTGCTGAATTTGGTAAACGATGCAATTGTGACAAGAATGACGCTACATGGCGCGAGGACAGCGGCTTGCTTACTGATAAGGTAGCACTTCCAGTAAGAGAGCTAAGGTTTGGAGATACAGGTACTTATCCCCTGAGTTATGGGTATAAGATCGACGAGAGGGGCTATCACACATTAGGAAAACTGAAGTGTTATGGAATAACTAACAAGCAGAAGTGATAACTTTATACAAGATTTTTTCTCTTGTCTTATAATAACTCCGACTTTTGAGCAACTTAAAAGGAGTTACGTCACACCCTTTCTTTCTTGAAATACATACCCTAAATTGTGACAGCAGCCTGTTTTAATTTGGTCGTTTGACATCCGTTTTTTATATTCTCAATCCTTAGTTTGTCTTTACTTTATATTGCTCTTATTATTTCTTAGCGTAAGAATATTTTTCCCGTCCTCATCGAGGGGAGGGTTGCTGGGCACGTCTCATACAATGTCTATGTGAAGATTAAGTTATGCGCTCTTTTCAAACTCAGACCATGAAATTTAAAAGAACATCAGTGACGAGCTCCAACTGAAAAGGAATCTCTTTTAGTGGAGTGATAATTAAAAAGCGTAATTTTAAACAAATCAATTCTAATGGAAGTCTTATTCATAGGTTAACTAACTAATTAAAATTAATTGATTTTCTGCATGCTAAGACTCAAAAATTAAACTAGCCTGAGCTTTGTCCCTACAACTTCCTTAAGATATCTATGTGCTCGTTCCAGCGTTGGTATGCAACCTTTCGACCACTCAGATATGACCCATCTCAGTTCGTAACACAATCCATATTTCTCAGTGTCTTCTTAAAGCCATTTACATCTTACTGGGTACAATGTACAAATCTTTTACTGACCAGCAAATGGTTCAGGGTGGAACAAATGACCACAGGATAGACCGAAAAGTTAATTGCCGAACTGTGGTGGAAAAGTGCATCTACGTTACAAAAGCTTCATAACGATCTCCCTGTAAGTTTTGAAAGAGAGTCACCCCTACCCCTCCCTCCATGCCCTGTTTTATATGACCGACTTTAGGGGTGACCTGTCTCACGCGCCAAACACGCAAGGAAAAGAAAAACTCTAGAGACCAGAAGAGTTGGCTTACATGAGCTGACATTTAATCAACGGAAGTCTATATTTTTCCTGATTCATGTATTACAAGAGGTTTTTTTTTTTGTTTTGTTTTATTTTTTTACAGTTTTCGCAATAACATACCAACTCTTACTTAATCAAGAGAATAGTTTCCTTCACAACACAAACAGCATTCTTTGCATCGACAGAAAGGAAGAAAACAAATTTACCTTTTGCTTCAAATTTGTTTCAACTTCCTTTCCCCCAGCTCCCTGCAAGAGCCTGGCAGTTTATCAAACAAAACATTTTGATCGAACGCTTTTAAATTTCAGTTTCACTCTTACATTGCTAACCAACTTGCCACTGTCAACTGTCAAATTAAATCATGAAAAGTATTTCGAGTGTTGCTGGTAATTCTTGTTAAGTTCGATAACTTATCCAGACAAACTTAATTAGATATATCATGTTGTTTGTCCTTTAATTAATTGTGGTTGTCTCGGCATTGGTATCCGACCTTTACATTTAATGTTGACCTAATCCGCGTCAAAGTCTACAAGCCCTTACAATCCATTTGCTCACCGACTACAAACAAGAGCGGAGGTTCCCTGTCTAATTCAGAACAAAATGTAACTTCTAGGAGCGTTCTCCTCAGATTACTTCAAGCAGAGGCAAATAAATTTCCGTCTCTGAAGTGCTATCTTATTTTCATCAGCTAAAGCCATGAAACGAGACAAACAGAGTCGAAAACCCTCCGTCATTGAGTTGTGTTCCGTTTCAGCATTGCTTTTGTCCATTACGTGCTGTATCGCTCTCGTTTATGTAGAGCTTAGGATACAAAAAAACCATCGGCTGTTTTCACATTCGACAACATTTTTCGAAAAGCTAATGGAGGAAATTGCATAAAGCACGAAATTGCATAAAGTACGAAAGATTTTGAAAGAATGGACCGCCGGTCAATAAGGAAGCTCTTTTCTTGCTCGCGTCTTAAATCCAGTTAATTTTCTAGAGTCCTCTAGCTAAAGGGCTTAAAGAATTACACGTTCTAATACCACGATAAAGAAAGTCCGCTCGAGCAGTGGCCGTTCTACTATAAAAGGCAACACTAGGTTTATCACTAGTCCTGTAGTTGTAAACTGCGAAACGGCTTGTGTGTTTAATTGCTATACATTAGGAGTTAAAACATTGAGGCATCTGTATACAATTGAAGAAATTCTAACTCTTGGTTAAGGTCCCTTAAAACTGAAGTAATTTAGTAGAGTCGGTGTGTACAAACATGATTTCACGCAGGTTTATTCATCTCAAGTAACTATAGCTGAAAGGAAGCAAATAATTCCTTGCTTCGGTTTTCCTGCAACTACTTCGGCTTTCTGCAAGAGATTAGCAGTTGATCAAGGAACGTGTTCTTTTTTGGAAATGTATCCGGTTTACGGCTTCAGCACAAACGGAAAGGAAGTCAGTGGCAATTAATCCTTGTTTTGATTTCGTTTCAACTCAGCTTCCCTATTCTCGTAGATCATAGCAGCTTATCAAAAACAGCATTCCACGAGTTGTTTTATTCTTCACTCACACAGGGTACTCAACTGTTACAACCAGAGCCACAGAATTTGGGAGTAAACTTCTATAGCTTGTAAAGCCACGACTGTTCTTACTGTTATTTGAAAAGACTCCTTGAGTTGCTTCGGCAGTGGTTCAGCTGACCTTTCTATTTAAGGTTGACCCACAGAGATCAGTTTCTAATATTCAAATTATACCAAAACAGTATATTAGTTCCCCCCGCATGCCAAAGAATTCCGTTTGTCGACCAAATCTACTAATCATAGCAGATGTCCTCTTCATTCGATCAAACGCAAATTTGAGTTGCGTCTTATTCGGAGCATTTCGTGCAAGGAAGTTAAAAATTTCTCTACCACAAGGCAAAATGTCATCGTCCCTGACTAGAGATGCGAAACAAGACAAATCGAGAAGAAAACCTTTCGCCATTCAGTTGTGTTCCATATCAGCATTGTTTCTTTCAATTGCGTGCTGCATCACACACGTTCATGTGGAACTAAGGATCCAAAATATTGATCGACTCCTTTCACATCGGATAACAGTTTGCGCTAAGCTGGAGGCAGAAATCTTTCGCAAAGTTGAAAAGAATTTCAAAGAATGGACAGCCAGGAGAGACGACAGAAACTAGGGGGGAAGATTAGGTGAGCCGATGATTAAAACATTAAACTATAATGTGCGCCATAGGTGAGCTAAAGGCCACAGAACATCAGTTGTAGGCTTCCTTAATTCTGAGTGGGGGTTTATGCTGCCGTTTAACATCTTTTCAAAATTTCGTTACAGGTCACGCCGAAAGCATTTCAAGAAAACCTCGTAGCGTTTTGAAAACCTCGTTGCCGTACAAAAACTCGTCGAAGGAAAGCTTCGCAAGTTACGGGAACAAATATGCGCAAAAGATCACGTGTTATGCCGTGCAGGCCCTAAAGGGAACCCGGGTCGCCGCGGGAGACAAGGCCTCCGTGGTAGACCAGGGAGACCTGGACCCCAGGGATCCCCGGGTAAGCATGGCCCCTCCGGACCGCAAGGACCTCTGGGGGTAAAAGGGGATTCGGGTCCTCCTGGAGATCAAGGACCACAAGGACCTAGAGGACCCAAGGGAGTCAAGGGAGATAGAGGCATGTCTATCTCGGCCCCTAATATCCAAGAGTTATCGGCTGAGAAAACAGTCAATGAAGGTCAAACAGCACTCTTGAAATGTTCAGCATCCGGTCACCCGACTCCAAGTGTCACATGGTCCAAGATTCACACTTCACTTCCATTTGGGCGTCATGTGATAGTGTCTAGTGGGGCTTTGATTGTGAAAAACGTGAAAATAGAAGACAAAGGAATCTACAAATGAAGAGCTCAAAACCTACTGGGAAGTGTGGACGCTTAGGCAAAATTAACAGTGCGTTGTAAGTTTTAAAGTTAGCAGTTATGTTTTGGCGTTAAATCGAGAAATACCATTTAAAGCGCTGAAAAACTTCGATTCCCGACGATTTCTTAGAATATACCCAAGTTTCCTTTCCAAAACGATTTTTAAGTCCATAGCGTGGAAAGAGGAGTAACGTGTTAGAAGAGCCTTTCTGTTTTTTTCAACAACATTTTTGTAGGAATCATTTTCCACGTAGGACGAAAATAGATCACAACAGACGTAGATCTAGGGACTAATTTGATATACTAATTACATGTTCCGATAAATAATTTCCAGATTCTCCTCGAATCACTCTGCCTTCCAATCGAGGGATGGCTGAAGAGCAACAAAATGTCACTATCGCTTGCAGTGTAGCTGGTCAGCCGCAGCCTGCAATCACGTGGTCTAAAGCGATCGGGGGTTTACCTGAAAGGATAACTGTGGTGAATGGAGTCATGAAAATCCACAATGTGACAAAGAACGACGGAGGAACTTATGCGTGTAAAGCAGAGAATAAACTCGGGACAGCAATGAAAACAGTTCTTTTGATGATATTCTCTCCTCTGCGGTTTAGAGTTCGTCCCCCAAAACAACTTAGTGCTCCGATTGGGAGTCTGGTACAGATACCGTGTGTGACCGAGAGTGACTTGCGAGCCTCAATCACGTGGATGAAGGATGGCAAGCCGTCACTTCCGGTAGAATCCAATATCCTACAAAACAACACTCTCGTTATATCCAACATCAAGAAATCCCATGAAGGGTCATATAAATGTAAAGCTGCTGATGGTCTGTCAACAATAGAAACAAGTGTTGAATTTAAAGTAGGTAACCTTACCTCATGTTCGGTGATACGGAAATACGTCAGTAGCTCTAGTGGTAGTTACCTCATTGACCCTGATGGTCCCAGTGGCCTGGCGCCATTCACCGTCTATTGTAACATGAGTGACAAGAGTGGAGTTGGCGTGACAGTTATTAGTCACGACAGTCAAAGTAGAACACTGGTAGATGGATATGATAGTCCTGGTTCATACTCACACAGCATTCACTACTCAGGAGCAATTCTGTCCCAGCTGGCCAGTCTGACTGAGGTCTCTTCGCACTGTGAACAATTCGTCAAATACGAGAGTTACCACTCTTTGCTTTTGAATTCAAACCATGGATGGTGGGTGTCACGTGATTCTGGAACGATGCAGTATTGGGGTGGAGCATCTCCTGGTAGTCAAAAGTGTGCATGCGGAATGACCAACTCGTGTGCTGATTCCAGTCTACGCTGCAATTGTGACAAAAACGATGGCACATGGCGCGAGGACAGTGGTCTTCGCACCGACAAGTCAAAGCTACGTATTAAGGAACTAAGGTTTGGAGATACCACGACATTCAGCAGTTTTGACGAGAAGGGCTATCATACTCTTGGAAAACTGAGATGCTATGGAATAGCTTACCATTGAAAACGTTTTATGACGATTATTTTCTGTTCATACAGCAGACAGCATCGGAGGTGAAAGAGTCTCTTTAAATGAAGTGAAACATCTACGGTATCTGTAATAGTCCTTTTGACAGTTGTGGGCTTGGTGGCCAAGCCTTTGAACAGGAGTGAGGCTTAGGGTGACCTTGTTATGATAGAGATGTTGCTGCTTTTCAAATGCAAATTACTTTGTTGTCATGCTAACTAGATACAGGTCTCTATCACAGCAGGGCCACCGTTAGCCTCACTCCCGTTCAAAGGCTTGGCCACCAAGCCCTCAACTGTAAAAGGGACTATTGGTGTCGATCTTTACACTAGTAACCCGACTAGCAAATCCAATCTGTATTCGCCGAAAAAAAAAAATTTTGATAGACGCGACGAGTTAAGACTTACTAATTGCAATAGGTAGGAGCTGTAGACAAACCTTCGTAGGTTGCCGAGGAGAAATCGTGCTTCAATGTTCGTGTCGCAAAATTACACAAGTATTACATGCCTCAGATATTCTGCTATAGCTACAGCTGCACCATCAAATCCTTTATGAACTTTTGTTTTTTTTTTTTGTATTCACCAAATCCATCTATGATATCATGGCTGTTAGTATTTCATATATTTTTTTTTAATTAAAAATGAGAACTGAACTGGAAATGCTAATCTTTGGAGAAAGGTTCTAATTTTGATAACTCTTATCCCTTTAGTCCCGAGACTGGCCATTATCTAATTTCTGCTGAGAAAAGTACTTCTAAATCAAAAATAAAAGTCATTTAATAGAGAAAATTATTGCACCTTAAGAAGAACATAATTCTTGTCAGTGCTATGGAAAACGTATAGAGAACAGTATGGAACATATGCATAATAACGTTAGAGATTAAAAGGTTCAATGTTAATGAGAATTTTTGTTGATACGCGGATAATCTGCATAGTAATTGCATATTGTGTGGGACCAAACTTTTTTGACGTGGAGGACGTAAAGTGACAAGCACATTGAACAAGTTTATCGCCAGTATCTGTTGTTGAGAATTAACGCAGTGTGTACTAAGTCAGTCCTAGAATAGCAGTTTTTAAAAACTCAGGCTTTTACAAGTACCTATCCAATCTACATAATTCAAATACAACATCTCATTGAATGTCAATGGAAATACTTGGAAAGATACCAGAAATCTCTTTTGATTCTTCATTCAAAAACTCACCACGACATTTATATGGCTGCAAAATACAACTTGAAAAATATCATGTGATTGATTACGAAATTGCATTTCAAGTCTAGAAAATTACATTCTATGCATGTTGCCGTACGTCCGTTCAATAGCAGATCACAGAACGCGTCAAAATGTCACAGTGATCAGAACTAAAAAGTGGCACATGAGGCGAAGCCGAGTGTGTTACTGATATTCTTACAATATTTTTAATTATTACACGACTCGGGAAGTCAGAGGGCCAATAACTAAATTCAACCAATCAAAATGCTCTATTGCCGGTCAATATTCTCTCAGTATTGGACCGGGCACTGTCCCGAATGGTCCCGAATGATACCGCACTTGTGTCCCTTTGAACTTCAGTCGTGTAATCTCTTATTAACCAAGCTTGCTCGGGACCGTGCTGGAAGAATATCTGCCCTCGGTCTTTTTTTGTACGGACCTCGCTGCGCTCCGTCCATACTGTCAAGACCTCGGGCCGATATTCTCCCAGTACGGCCCTCGCGCTTGGTTAATAAGATATATGTCTTCTGTGATCTGTTACGGTGAAGATGCACGGTAACATAGAATCTATTTGTTATGTATGATGAAAAAGAAAAATGCTGTTAATAGCAATGTCATACCAGGTCTGTCCTCCAATAGAATATAAGTAAGAACCAATTGAAAAATGCGTGCGTCATTCAACTTATCAAAAAAATTCTTAATAAACACATATCTATTTACAATATATTCCTATATCCGTGTCTTCGCCTAATTACTGATGTTATTTGAAATTAATCAATGTCATCGCTACAATTGGTGCTGTGATTTAACTGAGTTTAACAAAGTAGTAATAATATTAATAATAATAATAATAATAATAATATAGTTTATTTCGGACCACTTGCAGCCTAAGGCTGAATTACTGGTACAGTTTTAAAAATAAACAGACTGGAAACCCAAATGAATAAATACACACAATACTTTACACAGGTTGATAGTTAACGGTAACGAAATTTTTAAAGAAATTAAAAATGCAGCGAAGGTTTTTGATTGTGCCAGAACGCTTAGTAGGCAAGCTATCATCGTTGTCGTCATCATCACCACCATCGTTTTCATTATTGTTACCGTTGTAGTTCTCATCAATATCATCAGAGTCGATGAAAGCATCGTCAGTCATCAGAATCTTCATCGCCATCATCACTGTGTCCAATATCTTCATCGTCGTCGTGGTCGCCATGGAAATAATGATCATCATCATCATTATCATCGATTTTATTCCTCGTCATCATCGTCTCGAGGTCAGCATCATCAACAGGTTCATGACCAACAATCGCTATCGTCATCGTTATCATAATCGTAACAAACACTACCAAATCAACTCAAGTATTATCAATTTTATCATCATGAGAAGCATCTCGCTTCCATAATTTCAAATTGAACATTTTTTCCCTTGCTCGTATTTGAACACTACACTATACATGTCGCCACCCAGTTTTTGAGCAAGCCAGCGATTCTTTATGACAGCAAGTTTAATAGAATCACACGTAAACTTCGCGTCGTAGTTTGTATGGATGGCTCTGAAATGAGAACGGAAGATGAAAAAAAAGTAAGCTACGGACACTCACAAGTCTTAACGTTGTCCACTCGCAAGTGCCTCCTCTCTTCTGTATTCTCAAAGCAATCTTTCTCCAAAACAATGAAAAGAGAAACATCTATTAAGAGAACGGATAGAAACAAGCAGTGCCTTGAGAAATATCATCTGTCTGGAGAGAGGGAAAGGGAAAGAGAAAGAGACAGAGCGAGAAGGCGAGGGAGAAGCAAAAGAACTGGTATGATGGGACCTCCCTATGTCGCCTTTCATTCCTCCAGACACATGGCCAAGACCGCTCCAGGAGCGTGAAGGAGAGAGAACCTGGGAACAAGGTCGAGTTAGCGACCAAAACTACTTACCTGCCCATCCCTTCCAAAATTAAGAGATCCGCATCTCTACACTTCAGTGCAAGCTCAGTATTCACTCTCCTGAAAAAGAATATCAAGTTAGTATTTTACTTTTGACGTCCTCAGCCTAAAAGTATTCATTGGAAAGTAGGTCTTTGTTGTGGAAGTATCTCACGTCTTTCCTCTAAGGGTTAAAATAAAAATATACCTGCAGTCCAAACACGGAGAACCGATCCCTGACTCCATAAGAACTAACTGCTCTTCTCTACGCGCAGTCCTAAGTAAAAAAAATGTGAGTCGTAAGATTGTTTTACATTCACGTCTTACAAAAGCGAAGATTAATTTTCAATATTGCAGTGAAAAGAGGACTAGACTAAACTCCAATGAGAACAATTTCAGAATTACTGAATTATATTTTTTCACCAAAGGGAGATGATTCATATACCTTATTTCTGGATATAAATCTGCTACTTTTTCTGTCAAGATCACAAGTTCACTATACATGACGTCATTCAAGGCTGGATAAGAGTTAGCAGCCATGACAACCTAAAAAAAAAAAAGGTCAGGGAAACCTTAACCGAAAAAGTCTACGATTTATTTATTTATTTATTTATTTACTTAATTTTTTCTTTTTCTCTTTCTCGGAGAAATTAGCTATATAGCTACTCTTGTAAATCCGAGGTGAACTAAAGGCGATGTATGTAGGTATGTGTCACGAGTCATGTAATAAAAAAAACGAATGACCTACTAGGCAGAAAATCAAGTTAACGACGATAAAATGTGGAAAAGTAAGTTCACCGAGTTAATATGAGAATTCACCAGCAGAAAAGAAACGATTGATATCATTCGAAGACTGGGAATTGAAAAAAATGGATTTATTTTCCGCCCTTTTCTACTGAGCTGGCCAACAGTTTCGATGTTTGATCGCAAGGAAACTAGAGGAGGCCTAAAAACTATCGCGCGTTTATTCGCGTTCAGGTAATTTTGTCAAGGTAATTCTAACGCCTCTGCTTAGATAGTCAGCATATGAGCCTCAATAGCAGATCCTTCATAATACAGCACCAACAACAAAGAATTAAATACAAAGATACTGTTAACGCAAAATTTTGCACCTTCGTTCCTCGGGAGAGAAGTTCTCTGACAAATGGAAACATCCCCAAGATAATATCCACACCACTGTTATCAACAAATATGACAGCCAGCTCATGAGGTGGACCCTGTTCAGAGGGAAAAAAACACTCATAATTTCTTAACAAGAATCTACGTATGATAGAATAAGGAAGAAAGAGGAATGGAGGATAAGGATTGGAGAGAAGAAAAGAGAGGTGATGGATAGAGAAAGATGGAAGGCGATAGAGAGAGTAATGATGAGATTGGAGAAATACAGATGACTCCGAATGAAAACCAACTGACCTTTGACCTTTCAATCCAGGTATCTAAGTCATCTTTTAACCACGGTCGAGCTCAGAGAATACAGCAGAACAAAATAAAATTAGAACATGGTTTGTGTAATGCTGAACGTGACGTGGAATTTGGCTAGGTATAACTACGGGCTTTCACACTTAGGTTTTACGGCTGAAAAATTACCGTAAATAAAATACAAAGGAAGTTTTGAAAACTCACAACTTTTGTTTGCGTACCTTGTAGGTTTTTCATCGCCGAGTGGAAGTCGAGTTCGCCTTTCTCCATGAGCCTGTTAAATGATAGTTGGGGAGCAATTAGAGTAAAAACAAAAAATTCTGGCTTTCTTCATTCCCATCTTGAATACCTCGCCATGAAACCCAAATATCAAATAGTAAGAAAAACAGTACATGGTTTCCACTCTTACTTTGAGACCTCTTTGGCACCCCAGTCAAAAACATTTCCAGCAATAATTCCTTCAATGAGAGCAACTTGTCGCTGTTCCCAGGGTAGTGCATCCAGTTCCCTAAGTCTTTTAGAGAGCAGAAGAAGTGCAGCCTCGTTTTCTTTTTGTTTCACCTGCGAGTAAAAAATGCGGGAAAATAAGCGCCTGATATATAAAAAATGGCGGGAAACAAGCACCCGTAGTAAAACGTTGGTTTACGTTGGAAAAACGCCGGAAACGAACGGTTGTCCATAACGGCGGGAAAATAAGCCACATACGCGCCCGTGAACAAACGCGCCCGTCGAAAAGAGCGGGAAAGCTAGAATTTGTTTAAAAAAGGAAAATAACCGGAGCCTTTAATCAATGACAAAATGGCTGATGACCAATGGCCACATGAAGTGGAACAGTACCTACCTCTGCATATGGATCAGGAAAGCTGAACTCGTTCAGGTATTGTTCTCTCACGTCTAACAAGCTTCGTACATTCAACGTTCCATAAGCTCTGCAGAGGAAAAAAGTGTCACGCGCATGTGTCACACAAATGTGGGCCCTTGTCACAAGTAGTGTCATTCTTACGTCAACCATGATACTGGGCAACTTTTTCACCCATTACTGGAGGAGGAAAGAACTAGGTGCTTTTTAAAGCCGGGATCTACGTTCTCCAACATCTTATACCGAGAGTAGCAAAGCCATTAAAAGCAGTGGTTGTAAAATTAGGAAGCGATATGAAAATTTGATTGAGTGTTGTACAATGAGTATCGTTTATTAGTGGTGTATATGAAATAAAAAATGGAAAAAAAAAAAAACTCGATTAATTGGTGAAACTGACAAGGTGCTGTTCGCGCTTACTGTTTCCAAGTTGAATTGGAATTTCTCAAGTCGGTTTATGTTGAGCGAGGAATACTGTACCAAAATTTTTTCGAGGGAATTGATCATTGTTATATTCCAAGGGCACCATTACAGTATGTTAGGAAAATAACTCACGCAGGTTGTTCCTTGAGAACATTGAGGCGAAGTCGAAATTTGTTCCGAAACTTTTCTGCCCTTTCTCTAGCGTCTGGAGAATCTGGCTGGCTCGCTATGGCGCGTGCAACAACCTAATAAAATAAAAAGAGAAACGTGAGATTTAGCCACGCCTGTAATTATGGCGCGTGCAACAACCTAATAAAATGAAAAGAGAAACGTGAGATTTAGCCACGCCTGTAATTATGGCGCGTGCAACAACCTAATAAAATAAAAAGAGAAACGTGAGATTTAGCCACGCCTGTAATTATGGCGCGTGCAACAACCTAATAAAATAAAAAGAGAAACGTGAGATTTAGCCACGCCTGTAATTATCGGCACATATACTCCCCTAAAAAAGGGCCGCGTTCAAAAATTTCGGATTAAGTCAATAAAATTATCCGAAGAATGCACCATGTTTCTAAGAATAATCTGCGTATTTTTTCCAAACTTGCAAAATCAAGCAGATAATGCAGCGATTGAGTTGTGTGTAATACGTTAAAAGACTAAGAGGTGAACTAAATTAAATTCAAAGTCAAGGAAGTTTACTTTCTCCAGCCCATCTTCGAAACAACTGAGCCAGTATTCCCGCGCTTCTGTGTCAACTGTAAGATCTTGCGTATCAGGAAAGTAGTCGCTCGGCGAGGAGAGGAGAGGGAACGGGACTAGCGTGTGAGAAAATTGGTCCATCTCTAATACATCGTACTAAAATAAATAAATAAATAAAAAAAATAATTAGGCAAATAAATAAGTAAAGATGTTTTATGCAAATAATGTTTGTTTTCACTTAATTGTTCAATATGTGTTACATCATTAAATAAAATCAGTAACTATATTATAACAGCAAATGAACCAATCAAAACGAAGAGACGGATAATAGTCACAGCACGTTCCACTCTTTTTACTCCACATCTATTATGGAATAGAGAGCGAATAGCGTAGTCATTATACTCCAGAAGGTGGGTGCAATAAAGCCCGCCGGGGGGGGGGAGGAGGAGTAAACGAACGCTGGGAAGCAGGGGTGGGGCGCTAAATCTCTTGGGTTCGCAAGGCACATCTTCGCTTCATTGTAAAAAAGAAAATAATAATAATAATAACAAAACTGTTATGGAGAGATTATGTTATATCAGTGATACTGTTACATGGTTAAATTTTTTCCCTTACCATGGCTCCATCAGCAATCCGAGAATTGAGCAGATCAGAGGGCAATTTTACAGAAGGTAATCCGGAACTGCCTGCGTAATTCTCTCGCCATGTTAATACATTCAGATTGCTTTGATTGACATCAGCTGCAAGAAAAAAATAATTAGCATTGCATTGCAGTTTTTTCTTCAATCAACTTTGAAGGTCTATAGCAGCGAACCAAAGGCGCGCCTGTAATAATTTGCTGGGTTACGGAAAACTTCTCCGATTCCTTTTCACACAGTTATCAGTTGTTACCGAGACCGACAGTGATCCTCACTCAATTTTAATGTCTTTCCTAGGGCGCTGAAAAAAGGTAACAAATGCGCACGAAGCATGCTTAAATAGACACCATAACTTATCCCGGTTTCTCTAGCATCAACTGATTGTGGTTAATTCCAATGAATGGAAGACCAGTTCAATGTAGATACCCCTCAGTACTTTGATAGTGCTCCTTAAAATTCGCCTTTACCCACGTATACTTGCGAGAGGAGAAGTGCACTGTGGGAATTGAAAGTTCCACCCCAACCACCCAGCCAGGGTTCGAATCCGCAACCTGCGACCCACAATCCAGCGCGGTCACCACATTGCCACGGCGTTTCTCACAGACGCACACTTAAAATTGTTTAAAAGTGTGATGGATTTTAATCTTTCCCTTACAAATGCCGACCCTGTGCCACTTGAAGAGAAAACATGAATTCATTGAGAGATACGTGTACGAATTAAGTGCAATAAAGCGTTTAACCTACCGTCTTCTTCTACTCCTTTCAGAAACGCTCCAATGGCCCCCAGATATCCCTCATGCCTTAGAAACATTGCCTTTTGACTTCCCTAAAACATCACATAAAAACATTCTTCAACCTTTTCAAACTGACAGTTCAACATAGTTTTAATGCTTTTGCATAAACGCTACTTTCTGTAGACTGAAAAATTCGGGTCAGTAACGTCTTCCAAGGGCGAAAATTTACTCAACTTATCCCAGTAACTAACCCTTAAACTTCAACGATGTCTTTAGAAATTCTCATTACTGCCCACCATACAATTCTTATGATGTTAGTTCGGGAAATTTACTTTTAGATCAACGAATAAAATTGACATTTCGCTTTGTTCTCATCTCTAGTCGGCTTGGTGTTGTGTTGATATTGTAAGGAGAAATTCTGTCTTGGTCAATCATGTGGGATAAAGGGTGAAGCAAGCAAAATTACGACTCCCCCACTGGTTAAAACGCCAGTTTGTTACAATTTTTCCTTAAATTCGTATCGTTTAATACTTCTAACTAGAAAGAAGCGCCGACAGAGAAAACGGCCATGCCTAAGAACATTGCACAATGATCTCGCCACGGGTCGAATTCCGATGCCTAACCTCAAGTTTCAGAGCACTTTCCACTACGCTATCTGTTGACATAGACAGCTCTTTTACTGTAACATTACCCAAAGTACCAAGTGCTTGTTCTTCATTCCACGACCCTTTAATCCCAACAAGTGCCCAGCATCTAATTTCTCCTTACAATAAAACTGCTGAATCACTCAGTAAGATCACGAGAAGAAAGAGTATGATCACCAACCAAAACAGCTCTTCATTGTTGGACAGACTCTCCTTGTCAGCTCCTTAGGAAATGTTTTGAGAACAATACAGTCGCACCTCGATTATCCGGACTTTTTCTCTGGTTGTCATTTTTTCGTGAATATTTATTAGTCATGATCAAGATCTGTAGCCACATTCTTTGAAAAACTACAGCATTGAAAAGTGAAGTGAAGTGATGTTCTTCTTTGAGACAAACCGACTAGTTCAACATTTT